TTAGGATGGTGTTTGTTATAGGCTAAATCATGTCCCCCACCCCACCCCCAAATTAATATGTTGATATTCTAGCCCCTGCTAGAGAGATGGGGTCTATCTATTTGGAGATAGGGTCTTTAAAGAGTTCATTAGGGCCTGGCCAGTATAGTTTAGTAGTTGAATATCGACCTATGAACCAGAAGGTCACGATTCAATTCCCAGTCAGGGCACAAGCTCAAGTTGCAGGCTCAATCCCCAGTAAGGAGGTTGCAGGAGGCAGTCAATGAATGATTCTCTCTCCCTTTCCCTTCCTCCCTGAAATTAATAAAAATATTTTAAAATATTTTTGAAGTAAAATGAGGTCATCAGGGTGGGCCCTAACCCAATGTGACTTTGTCCTTTAAGAAGCGGTCAGGACAGACATACATGCACACACAGAGAGAAGCCATGTGAAGATACTGGAAGGAGACAGCCATCTACAAGCCGAGGAGAAAGGCCTCAGAGCTACCAACCCCACTGACACCTTGATCCTGAGTTTCTAGCTCCGATATACAAAGAAATCGATTTCTGTTGTTTAAGCCAGTCGGTCTATGGTACTGGTACTTTATTTTGGCAGCTTGAGCTGATTGATTGATACAGGTGAGTTTTTGTCTCTTTCTAAAGAAAGTGCTGGTGACTCTAATCCAGATCTCTTCCATGTGCTCCTGGCCAAGTAAATAACTCCTACTGGATATTTTTTTTTCATTTTCTTACAATTCACCTCAAGTACAACATGTCTAAGCAGGTCATCATAATTTTCTTAAAGTCTATTTCTCCTTCTGTATTCCATATCTCTCTGAAGGGCCCATTCTACCCTTGACCCAGGTATCTAAGTCAGAAACCAGAAATTCTTCTCCCTTCACTCTTTCTGTCCTACTTGCAACACCAAGGTTTAGGCCACCATCATCTGTCTCCTGGATTATTGAAGTTGGCTTCTAATTGGCCTCCCTGCTTCCTCTTGTCACTGTCCAATCAATCCTCTCTACATACCACTCTCATAATGATTCTGTAAAAGTCATAAACCCTCTCCTGCTTTCATCTCTTTAGTGGCTCCCACTACTCTTTTTTTGTTTGTTTGTTTTGTTTTGTTTTGTTTTGTTTTGTTTTAGGAAGGGAGAGGGAGAGAGATAGAAACATCAATGATGAGAGAGAATCATTGATCGCTGCCTTCTGCATGTCCCTCACTAGAGATCAAGCCCACAAGCCAGGCATGTGCCCTTGACCAGAATTGAACCTGGGACCCTTCAGTTCGCAGGCCGATGCTCTATCCACTGAGCCAAAATATCCAGGGCTATTTGTTGGCAATTTTAAAAATATCAGAACAAAATTACAACAATAAACACTTGTAAAATAAAACTAGTATTTCACATGTAGAATAATAAATATTTAAAACTACTTTCACATGTAGCACTCTAATGAATAGGGAGATTTAGACCCAAATTATAAAATGTGTCTAGTCATTATCTGGAAACATTTTATATTTTAAAACTCTTAATGTTATAGGAAATATTTTATATTACTTCTGTCAAGGTTTCAGTTAAGTGTTGGTCACAGGTATGGAAAGAGCAGGCAGCCAAGTTCAATCATAGTAGGTTTTCCTTGTTCAGAAGGGCAATGGTAAGCAGGATATCTGCAGTGACCACAGTTGACTAAACTGAATATGGGGGGAAATGAATACAGAAGGGGTCTGATTTTCTTCTTGACAGATTAGGTTTTTCTGTTACTTTGCTCCTATGTGTTACTTATCCACTGTGGGACTCATTAAAATTTTAATTAGTCACTTGCATAACTTTTTAATTTGTGCCTAAAACCATCTGAGGGGCAGGGACCAGTTGGCTATCTCTTCATTCAGTCATTAGTCCCTAACACTGGCTAGAAGTACATGTCCAATAAATATTAAATGAATTTGGTTTAAATTTTATTTAAATTTTAGTGTAATATTAAGGCATTTTAGAATTGAGGAAATGTATTTGTCTTATCTGCTTAGTGGCTGCAGAACTGCTTTTTGAGTTTTATATATACCAGGTAAGCGCCAGGTGAAGTATAATGGCCCTGTTAGGTCTTAATGCTTCTTTTTTTTTTTTTTTTTAATAAATTTTTATTGATTTTTTACAGAGAGGAAGAGAGAGGGATAGAGAGTTAGAAACATCGATGAGAGAGAAACATCGATCAGCTGCTTCCTGCACACCTCCTACTGGGGATGTACCTGCAACCAAGGTACATGCCCTTGACCGGAATCGAACCTGGGACCTTTCAGTCCGCAGGCCGACACTCTATCCATTGAACCAAAGCAGTTAGGGCAATGCTTCTTTGTTATATGCTTCCATAGCATTCTATACTCATCTTTTTAGGTTTCCTCCACATTTTTACTTTAGTTGTTCAGTGATTTGTCTTTCATTGCTATATGGTAATGAACTCACTGAGGTCCAGGATTATGGTTTACTCACCACTGTATATACTCACTGTTTAGCATAACATCTGGGTGGGCATTCAGATATTTGAGATTAGTACAAATAAATGCCCTGACCGGAAATTGAACCGTGACCTCCCGGTTCATATGTGACACTCAACCACTGAGCCATGCTCGCTGGGCTCTTTTTTTTTTTTTTTAAATCCTTACCCAAGGAGTGAGGATATTTTTTCCATTGATTTTTTTAGAGAGAGTGGAAGGGTGTGGGGGAGGGAGGGAGAGAGAGAGAGAGAAGGAGAAGGAGAAGGAGGGGGAGGGGGAGGAAGGGAGAGAGAGAAAGAGGGAGAGAAGGAGAGGGAGGAGAGAGAGAGAGAGAGAGAGAGAGAGAGAGAGAAAGATCATTGTGAGAGAGACACACTGATTGGTTGCCTCCCACACGGCCAATGATGGTGGGGATCCAACCTGCAACCCAGGTGGGTGCCCTTGACTGGGAATCGAACCCACAAGACAATAAGGTTCTGGTCTGTATCAAATACAATAATCTTAGGAACAAAGCACTGACCACAGAGAGTTTCAATCAAACTGGAGTTAACAGGTGGGCCTCAGCTGTGGTTGAGCTCCAGGCCCATGAAAGCAGTGAAACCATACCAATCCAAGCCATGGCTGGCATCAGGACTGAACACGCTACGCTGGTCAGCTACCCCTACCCTAGTGTCAGCCAGTCAAACAGAGGCCAGGACCCTAACTCCCTTAGTCACCATGCATAATGGTTTCCCCCTAAAGAACCCATTCCCTGGAAGCCATCAGGAGCCAGGTCTCTGAGCATTAAATTAGCTCACTTGTCTCTGGGCTTGCGCCACCTTCTAGAGCAGCGGTTCTCAACCTGTGGGTCGAGACCTCTTTGGGGGTGGAACGGCCCTTTCATAGGGGTTGCCTAAGACCATCGGAAAACACATATATAATTACATATTGTTATAGTGATTAATCACTATGCTTTAATTATGTTCAATTTGTAACAATGAAAATACATTCTGCATATTAGATATTTACATTACAATTCATAACAGTAACAAAATTAGTTATGAAGCAGCAACGAAAATAACTTTATGGTTGGGAGTCACCACAACATGAGGAACTGTATTAAAGGGTCGTGGCCTTAGGAAGGTTGAGAACCGCTAATCTAGAATGAAACCCTTGCTTTCTTTGCGGCAGGCTCCTGTTCCTGACTTACAGGGCTTTGATGAGCGCAGGCAAAGGGACCCCTTCAGTCGGGTAACACATCTTTCTGTTGGCATTCAAGAAAGCCAGGCTGGCCTTCTCAGTGGATCTGGGTCTTTGTTCAGCAGTTAAAAGCTGTGCGTGCACGTCTAGGCAGCACCTTTCAAGGGCCGTCACTTTTACTCCGAAGCCAATGAGGCTTAGGTAGCTCCCAAGTTAGCAGAAAACACCCAGGCCCACGTCACCTGGAGGCTATGGAGACTGGGGACTGACGGCCTCACAGGAATCCCCGAGTAGAAAGAAAAACAAATACAAGCACCAACAAAGACAAAAGATATTGGACACCGGGCTACGTGTGATTTTGTGCATTTCGCGAATGACAAGCCCAGGGAGGCCTGTGTGGCGGCCTCACACACTCAAGGGACCTAAATAACCACAAAGGATGGTCTGAAATGGAAACTTTCTAACTAAAAGCAGGCTTGTCCTAGGCTACAATCGTCCCTGACAAGTCAACCTTTGCTTTAATCGAGCCCATTGTCTTCTCGCACCGAAGACCACGTGCCTTTGGAAGGTCAGGGTATCTTTCCTTTTTTCCAGACCCTCAGGGTGTAACCTAGGCACCAGGGCGGACTACAATCCTCGCCCAGCGGATTAAAGAAGCATGTGCCTATCATTTCACTTTTTAGCCAATCCCAGCAATTTCCCCCGCCTCGCTTTCTCCCGCCTCCCTAATCTGTCACGAATGGATTTCACTTAAACCAATTACGACTTTCCCTTTGCTTCTAATGTACAACATAAGGTGCAGAACTGCCATTTTCCAGAGCATTTTTCTCAATCCCTTTAGATTTTGCTTCCCAGCAATTGTCAGTTCGGCTCAAATAAAGTCATAAAAATCCTCTACAGCAGTGGTTCTCAACCTTCTGGCCCTTTAAATACAGTTCCTCATGTTGTGACCCAACCATAAAATTATTTTCGCTGCCACTTCACAACTGTAATGTTGCTACTGTTATGAATCATAATGTAAATATCTGATATGCAGGATGGTCTTAGGGGACCCCTGTGAAAGGGTCATTCGACTGCCAAAGGGGTCCCGACCCACAGGTTGAGAACCGCTGCTCTACAGGTTTGAATGTTTCTCACGTTGACAATTTTAACACATTTAATTCTGTATCAAATTTAAAGGTATTTTCCCCCCACTTTTCTCAGAAAAACTCAGAATCAGAGAAAAACTGGGAAGCTGATAGTAGGCGGATGCGAGATGCCCGCCAAGGGCTCAGAGCCTGGGTCCCTCCGCTCCCCCGCCAGGGGGACCGGGGACAGCGCTGCAGACCAGGCCTCGGCCGCCGCGACTCACCCTCGGCGCTGTCCCGGGCCGGTGGAAGTCTTCGGAGCGGCCATCGCGGAAGGCCCGGCAGAGAGAGAGGCAGAGGAAGTGCAGCATCCAGCCAGCAGCCACTGCCTCGGCCTCCGCCACCAGGCCCGCGTCCTTCTCTTTCGCCGGGCCCCCACCTCCACCTGGTCCTCGAGCAGCTCCTGGCACTCCACATGCTCCTCATAGTCTCTCGCCGTTTCCCACAGCCCCGCCTCCGAGGGTCCCGCATCCGCCCCGTCCGCACGCCCCCGGGAGTCGCGGGACCCTCCGGCCCCGTGGCCCCTGTTTTGTTTTTGTTAATCCTCACCCCGAGGTATTTTTCCATTGATTTTTTTTTTTTTTTAATGGAGTGAAAGGGAGAGAAGAGACAGAAAAAGAAACATCAATATGAGAGAGACATCGACTGGTTGCCTCCCACATGCACCCTGACCAGGGCTGGGGATCAAGCCTGCAATCCAGGTACATGCCCTTGACCAAAATTGAACCCGGAACCCTGCAGTCCACAGGCTGACACTCTATCCACTGAGCCAAACCAGCTAGGGCTCCCACTGCTCTTAAGATAAAGTCCAGCCTGGCCAGCGTGGTTCAGTGGTTGAGCATCAAGCGATGAACCAGAAGGTCATGGTTAGATTCCTGGTCAGGGCACATACTCTGGCTTGTGGGCTGATCCCCGGTGTGGATCTCTATCTCTATCTCTATCTCTATCTCTATCTCTATCTCTATCTCTATCTCTATCTCTCTCCCTTCCTCCCTCCTCTCTGAAATAAATAAAAGAAAAAGATAAAGTCCAAACTCTGTAAGTGATCCTGGGAGAGGCAGCTCATTTTGTAAGCTGATCCAAAACTGAAAATAAATTCCTCAACTAATGATCAGCTTAGTAACAGTGATGCTCAGCTTAATGGTGCTTATTTTAAAATTAAGATGAAGACAAATTTCTACATTAGTAAAACAGTTTTAACCATCATGACAAACTGCAACTTACATGGGAATGGAAAAAGGCACATAATTGCCCCATTTGATAGATTTGGCTGTTATTCACAAAGGTTGATTCAAGAAGCCATCCGAAGTAATCCTTAGGATCTGTTGTAAATTTGTGAAGACATAATCCAAGATTACATTCAAAACGGGACAGAGCAAGGATTCTTGTGCCCTGACTACTGCCGCTGGATGCCGCCTGTGAAATCCTGACCCCAATCCTGTCAAGTGTTTTTCACGCTCTTCAAAATATTTCCAGCAAATATTTCAGGTGAGTTTATAACCCGGTTCATTTATAAATTCAAGAAATAGTTATTGAGAAGGACAGACCCTGTCCCTGGCTCCAAACAAACAGGATAAACCATGAGTCCCTACTCCCACATAGCTTCAGACAAGGAGGAGTTTCCACCCAAAATGACCCAGAGGACCAAGGGACCTAGGCTACAGGCTTACAGTTGTCAAGGTCACTGTATCTGGCTTGAGAATACTGCAATAATCTTGTCTTTTAAGGGTAAGTTGGGCTTTCAGAGGAGGAAGACTTATCTGTAAAATATGCTAACTTGCAAATCCTCACCAATCATGCAGATGATGTCCATGGAGACTGAAGTTTTCTTATAAAGATTTAATTCTTCTCCTATCTTAAAAAGACAGACCTGGGGCTGCAAATGAAGCAGTAGTCACTGCCCAACACTTCATAATGTTGAAAAGATTGAGAAGACAGTGACCTATGGCTAACATAACTTGACAATTTAACTGCCTCGTGGATCCTCCTGCCTCTCTGCTGTGGCCAAGACTTCCCCAGTGTACACAGTGGATCGTGTTGGCTCTCCAGCCTGAATGAAGGGCGTTCATTCCTCCACTGAACCAGCCACAACCCCAGCACCCTCCATGCTTTTCCTAATGCATTGTTCCCATGTCTTATCATGTTTTGCTATGAATGAATCAATAAATTAAAAAAATTACCGCCGTGGACAGTGTGGCTCAGTTGGTTGAGTGTTGTCCTGTGCACAGAGCTTTTGATTCCCGGTCAGGGCACATGCCTGGGTTGCAGGCTGGATCCCCAGGACAGGGCGTACAGGAGGCAGCCAATTGATTCTCACATTGATATTTCTCTTTGAAATCAATAAAAACATATATATATTTTTTTTAAGTTAAAAAGTCAGTTCTCTTCCTCAGATGTAGTGGGCAGGTCAAGATATATCTATGAGCCCTAGCTGGTTTGGCCCAGTGGATAGAGTGTCAGCCTGAAGAGTGAAGGGTCCCAGGTTCAATTCTGATCAAGAGCATATGCCCGAGTTTCGGGCTCCATCCCCAGTAGGGGGCATGCAGGAGGCAGATGATCAATGATTCTCATCATTGATGTTCCTCTCTCTCCCTCTCCCTTCCTCTCTGAAATCAATAAAGACATATATAGATAGATAGATATAAAAGATATATCTATGATCCTAATTCGGCCTGTCTGACAAACACACAGATGAGCTGATTTTATAATATCCATGGCTTCGGCAGTTTGCTAGCCTTCGTTACATATAAAACCTTTGTATAAGCTTCAGATGCATTTTACTGGTTTACTGCCCCTCTTTTTAGCCAACCTCCAGTGGAACCCAGATTCATTCTTCTAATTTCAGTCCCCACAGCCTTTCTATCCTGGAGCCCTTTACTTTTTTTTCAACTTTTTAAGATTGGTAATTGCCTTTCATATAATAGGTACCCCATAGATAGTTTTTGATGATAAACTTGACCTATGGCTGCTTCCTGACTCTATGATTACTTGGGTCAACCCCACTCAGCCAGGCTGAAATTGAAGCTGTATTGACCTAATTTTTCAATCAGTATTTCCCAGTCTGTGGTAGAGCTTGTTAAAATACAGATTCCTGTCCTAGCCGGTTTGGCTCAGTGGATAGAGCATCAGCCTCCAGACTGAAGGGGTCCCAGGTTTGATTCCGGTCAAGGACACATGCTGGGTTGTGGGCTCGATCCCCAATAGGGGGTGTGCAGGAGGCAGTCATTCAATGATTCTCACTCATCATTGATGTTTCTATCTCTCTGTCCCTCTCCCTTCCTCTCTGAAATCAATAAAAATATATTTTAAAAAAATACAGATTCCTTGGCCCCACCCCCATGGAGTCTGACTCTCTAGGGTGGGGTACCTCAGGCTGTATAACCTCCATTCTGCCCCTCACCCCATTACCCTGACCCTTGAGTTTGGGAGCATAATTACCTACTCAAAACTTTTAAAATGAGAGAAAATATTGCTTTATAGATACACATAAATGATAAAGCAGTGATTCTCCAGTTGGGGAGATTAGAGAGAGCCATCAAAAACCAAAGTGTTGCCCTGGCTGGGTGGCTCAGTTGATTGGGGCGTCCTGCTGTACACCAAAAGATTGTGGTTCCATCCCGGGGCAGGGCACATATTTAGACTGCAGGTTTGATCCCCAGTCAGGGCAAGTACGGGAGGCAACCTGATCATTATTTCTCTCTCACATTGATTTTTTTTCTTACTCTCTTTCTTTCCTCTCTCTCTAAAAATCAATGAAAATATATCCTCAGTTGAGGATTAAAACAGAAATATCAAAATCTTTTTCAAGTCATAAGTCCTGCTCCTTGTCCTTGTCTCTTTTGGAGAGGACTGTCATGCGGGCCTGGACCAGTAGGTGTGTGCCTGTAGCACCCCCCAGAAAGTCAGGGGCAGCGGGAGACAGTTGACAGCCATGCTGAGGAGCAAAGAGCATACAAGGGGCAGAAATAATCAAGGAACACTTCTTATAAATGTGTTTGTATACATAATTTTTTTTTTAAAGAAGGGAAGTTTTTTGGGGGGAGGGGGGATTTTTTAATCCATAATAGAGAGTTGGAAGGTGAAAATGGAGTGAACTTGAATACATAGAAAATCATCGTGGGAAGCTAGTTAGATCTACCCTCCTAAAGCAGATCCCCCCGCAGACCGAGAATGCAGCCTCAGAAGCATTTGGGCCCTAGAGCAGCATGTCCCAGGTGTCTGGTTTCTGCAATTGAAGAGACCTGGGCTCAGGTCTCAGTTTTGCTGCTTATGAAGCTTAGGGAATAGAACCACCAGTAAGAATCTCTGAGTCTTGATTTTCTCATGAGTAAGATGGCAGCTGAAATTGTTAAAAAGATTAAAAGTGATCATGTGCATAAAGCACTAAGTGATAGCTAGCTTTATATGACTATTTTTAATTTTTAAATTGATAACCTGAGAATGAAGTGTACTGCCATTGATCATAGTTAAAGCATGGATTAAGGACTTATTAATAATTACTAGTAATAAAGTTACTAGTAATTATTAGTAAATAGTTATTAATAACAAAAATTAGTAATTTCATTATTTTCTAGAGCTCCTTATATTTGGGGGAGATTGAGCCTTTGTCTGTAATATGAGTTATAATTTTTCCCAATATTCTCTTATGACTTTGTAGTGTTTTGTTTTATTTTTACTCTGCAGATGTCATTTTACATCATCTTATTTAAGGGCTTCTGGGTGTTGCATCATAGTTGTCAGGCTTCCGCATTCTGAAATTAGGAAGCAGTTCTCCTTCTAGTTCTTTTGCAGTTTCTTTTATTACATTCAAATCTCTGTTCCACTGTGACTCATCTGGGTGTGAGATAAGGCTTCAATTTTATTTTTCCAGAAGGCCACCCGGATGTCCTAACACCATCTATTAATTAGTCCCCTTAGGCTGTTTGGGCTTGTAGATCAGATAAAACAGTTTGGTGTTGAGTTCTGATGGCAGAGTGACTGATATTCAATAACGATGAACCTGAGTCTTCAATAAAAATTAAATCATGTTGTTGTGTAGCCTCTTTTAAGAGGGAAAGGAGTGAATGATTTATATAGAATGATTTTAAATACTCATTTACCATTTTGTTGTTGTTGTTTAAAGGCAATTATTTGAAAGTTTACATCTCATCGCCCAATAGCCAAAATAAATCATATACAAAGTAGAAAATGAAGCACTCTTTTTCTTATTTTTAAGCTCTGAGATGGTAAAAATTCCTTGGTAACTAAAATGAATATGAAAACCTCAGAGAAAACCTGTCCTCAATGATGAACCACTGACAGCCGAGGCTGCGTGGGACCAGGCCAGCTGGCCTCACACACCAGTGTTCTGAGATCAGAGCCCTGAGATTCAAGAATTCTGAAACTCTCAGTAGAAAGAAGCCTGGGGCCAATATATAGGCCAATCAACAGTGTGATTTTTCTCCCAGCCCTTATCAAGACTGAATATAAACAAAGTTTGCTAATATGATAAATAAAAAATATCTTATTTATTATTTTACCTTGCTGCTTTAAATTTTAGTAATCTATCTACACTAATAAAACAGAAACATGGTAATTAGCGTACGACCGCTACCCTTCCCATTGGCTAATCAGCATATCCTTATGCAAATTAACTGTCAGCCAAGATGGCGGCCGGCAGCCATGCACTGAAGCGAGCAGGGAGGCTTGCTTGCTCCAGTGACTGCGAACTCCAACGTTCCCCGCCTAACTTGCCGGCCTCTCAGCTGCAACTCTAAGCAACTATGTACTATGTTGCAAATAAGAAGCTAAACAAAATCCCAGAAACCAGCCGGACTGAAAGCTAGCCGGACCGCAACATTGTATCGATGTTTTCAGTAGCGAGGCCTCAGAGCTAAAGCTGGCCCAGAATTAAAAAAAAAAGAAAGAAAACAAGGAGCGGTTAGGAGCTTCAGTCACTCGCTTCCGGAAAACAGCCCTCAGCCCCTCACCCAGGCTGGCCAGGCACCCCAGTGGGGACCCCCACCCTGATCCAGGACACCCTTCAGGGCAAACCAGCCAGCCCCCACCCATGCACCAGGCCTCTATCCTATATAGTAAAAGGGTAATATGCCTCCCAGCACCGGGATCAGCGGAGCAGCGAGGCTCCTGGCACCGGGATCAGCGTGACAGGGGGCAGCACCCAAACCCCCTGATCGCCCTGTGGCTCATGTGTGTGACAGGGGGCGCTGCACCTCCCATCAACCCTGCCTTGAGTGTGACAGGGGGCGGTGCCCCAACCCCCCAATCGGCCCTACCCTGAGCGTGACTGAGGGTGGCATCGCAACCTCCCGATCCACCCTGCTCTGTGCATGACGGGGCGGCGCCCCAACTCCCCAATCGGCCCTGCTCTGAGCCTGACCAGGGGCTGCACTTAGGGATTGGGCCTGCCCTCTGCCACCCGGGAGCAGGCCTAAGCCAGCAGGTCGTTATCTCCCGAGGGGTCCCAGACTGCGAGAGGGCACAGGCCGGGCTGGGGGACCCCCCTCCCCACCCCCCCGAGTGCACAAATTTTTGTGCACCGGGCCTCTAGTATATATATAAAACCCTAAAATGCAAATAGACCGAACAGCAGAACAACCGAACAACTGAACAACCAAACAACTGGTTACTATAACGTGCACTGACCACCAGGGGGCACACGCAAAACATGGCGGGTGTCGGCAATGACAGAATGGTGGAGCAGGTGAGTGGGGGTGCCAGATGAAGGCAGGACGCCGATCGCTGTCATTGGGGTGAGTCTCTGGTGGTTATTGAAAATTCTTTAATTTTTCTGCAGTCCCACCTGGCACTTGC